TATATACAATGATATAGAAGACCCACTATCAAGCAAAAGAAATAAAATCAGAATTACGAATGAAAATTGTAGAATATTGAAAAGTCAACAAAAAGAAACAAATTTACCGCACTTATACTGTTACACGATCGTCATGTGATAAGCCAATTGAAACATACCTAGATAAATCCATATTAAATGCATAATTCATCGACACAAATATTCATGATGCTTACAGAAAAGATGTTATATTTAAGGTAGATAATGCAGGGGGAGCGGAACGGTTTTAAACCTAGTTAGAAAAAATAACACTTGATAAAGACTGTGAATTATGCTGGAATAAGCTTGAGACAGAGGGCTCTAAATAGATACAACAGTAGTATACCGGTGTTCAAAAGTCATAATTCGATTGAGAGAAAACAAATCCGGGTTACAAACCAAAACCGAGGGAAACACATCAACTATAAGAGGAAAACAAAGGAACAACAGGAACACCGAAGTGCGACAAAAACAAACGCCAACACACATAGAAACGAACTATTTGATAACAACTGCCTTATTCCTGACTTGATACAGGACATTTTAAGAACAAATGGGGGGTTCAACCTGGTTTCATAGCATGCCAAACCTGCGGCTTTATGACAATGTTAAAAAATATCACTAAAACACTACGTGACAGAAATACGGCACAAACACAACCAAGATCTTTCGTAACAAAGAAACGCACAAACAAACAATATTATAGTCGACACGACGTGCAAACCACAGAACAACAACGAACATATTCCATCAACGAAAAACAGAAAATCAAAAACTGTGACGCGTTTACGTAACTAACATGCAATCTCGAAATTTATACAATTATTTTCACAATATTCGTCCAAACAATTTTCATGACAATGATGGTATTGAAAGGTAATTTTATAATTTTTTGGACTACAAACGATAAGACATAACAGATTATCCAACCGAAACCATAACAGAAACATCAAAATAAATCCATTAATGCTGGATGTACAAAACACCGAGACACGCCGCACAGCAATGCAAATTCACATTCAGTATAACAGTCATATTCGGGATTATGACAATGATGGTATTGAAAGGCAATGTTATAATTATTTGGACAACAAACGATACGACATATCACATTATTCAACCGAAACCATAACAAAACATCAAAATAAATACATGAATGTTGGATGAACAAAATACCGAGACACGTCGTATAGCAATGTAAATTCACTCTCGGTATAACAGTCATATTCGGGAATAGGTCACGTTCGGTACCTAGCAGACAGACGACATAGATGTTAAACCACAATCTAAGACGTGGTAAACATGTCATTAGTTAGTTTAGACACAGACACATCGTATAGATCAACCAATTCTTAACAACAATAAACTTGCAAACCCCACAACTATAGTAAAGAAATCAATAATAAGTTCATAGAATCATTGAAATAAATTGTATTCTTAACCTTTAAGATCCAACATCTCAATTTGACATATGAGACCTTGTAGAACTTTCACGTTCTACTTTTTTTACCTGGACATTAACTCTCATGATTTACTATCTTTACCTGGACTTTCACTTCAATGTTATACTGTTTTATGTGAACATTCACTCCAATGTTTTACTGTTAATACCTTAACTTTTACTCCTATGTTTTTTTTATTGTGACCTGGACTTTCACTCCAATGATTAACCATTGTTACCTGGACTTTCACTTCGATGTTTGACTGTTTATACCTGAATGTTTTTTTTCCATTTTTACCTGTTTATACTTGGACTTTAACTCCAATGTTTGACTGTTTTAACCTGGACTTTTACTCCTATGTTTTACTGTTTATACCTGAACTTTAACTCCTATGTTTAACTGTTTATACCTGGACTTTCAGTCCAATATTATTTTATTGTTACCTGGACATTCACTCCAATGTTTTACTATTTTTACCTGGACTTTCACTTTCAGCTCTTACAGCATGTCTGGAGAGGAATATAAACATGAAACAGATACTTTTTTGTTTGTACCTGAACTTTCACTTTAATGTTATATTGTTTTTATCTGAACTTTCGCTCCAATGATTTACTATTTTTACCTGGGGTTTCACTCCTTTGTTTTACTGTTGATACAATTTTTACCTGGACATTCACTCCAATGTTTTATTATTTTTACCTGGACTTTCACTCCATTGTTTTACTGTTGATACCTGGACTTTCACTTCAATGTTTTACCTGAACTTTCACCCCTATGTTTAACTGTTTATATCTGGACTGTCAATCCTATGTTTGACTGTTCATACCTGGACTTTCAGTCCAATGTTTTCCTATTTTTACCTGGATGTTTGCTTCAATGTTTTACTATTGCTACTTGGACTTTCACTCTAATGTTTTACTATTTTTACCTGGACTTTCATTCCAATGTGTTACTATTTTTACCTGGACATTCTCTCCAATGATTTACTATTTTTACCTGAACTTTCACTTCAATATTATATTGTTTTTATCTGATTTTTTGCTTTAATGATTTACTATTTTTACCTGGACTTTCACACCAATGTTTTACTATTTTTACCTGGACATTCACTCCAATGTTCTACTATTTTTACCTGGACTTTCACTCCTTTGTTTTGCTGTTGATACCTGGACTTTCACTTCAATGCTATACTGTTTTGATGTGGACATTCACTCCAATGTTTTACTATTTTAACCTTGACTTTCACTTCAATCTTATACTTTTGTTACCTGGACTTAAACTCCAATGTTTTTTTATTTTTACCTGGACTTTCACTCCTTTTTTTTAATGCTGATACCTCGACTTTCACTTCATTGTTATGCTGTTTTTATTTGGACATTCACTCCAATGTTTTTCTGTTTTTATGTGGACTTTAATTCCTACGTTTAATTGTTACCTGGACTTTCAATCCAATGTTTAACTATTGTTACCTGGACTTTCACTCCAATGTTAACTATTGTTACCTTGATTTTGACTTCTATGTTTTACTGTTTTTACAGGAACCTTAACTCCTATGTTTTACTGTTTTACCTGGACTTTCACTCCAATGTATTACTGTTTTTACCTGGACTTTCGCCCCTATGTTGTATCATTTTTACCCTGACGTTCGCTCCAATGTTTTATCATTTATACCTGGAATTTCAGTCCAATGTTTTACTGTTTTTACTTGGACATTTCACTCCAATGTTTTGCTGTTTTTAACTGGACTTTCACTCCAATGTTTTGCTGTTTTTAACTGGACTTTCACTCTAATGTTTTATTATTTTTTACCTGGACATTTCACTCCTATGTTTTGCTGTTTTTAACTGGACTTTCACTCCAATGTTTTAATAGTATTGTTTTTACCTGGACATTTCACTCCTATGTTTTGCTGTTTTTACATGGACATTTCACTCCTATGTTTTGCTGTTTTTAACTGGACTTTCACTCCAATATTTTACTGTTTTGACCTTGACTTTCACTCCTATGTTTAATGATTTATACCTAGACCTTCATTTCTATGTCTGACTATTTTAACCTGGATGTTCATTACAATGTGTGACTGTTTACACCTGGACTTTCGCCTCAATGTTTTACTGTGTTTACCAAGATTTTTACTGGTATCTTTTATACAATCTTTTGTTGACAAAAAATGAAGCCCTTAAGAATGAAAAATGCTGATAACATTGTTAAACAATTCCATATTAGCAGGTGTACCAAAAAGATACCCCCTTTCCTCGCCCGTGTTTTCACTTCGAGCAACCAGGATGAATTCTATAGCTGGACTACCTACTGCCAATCTGGCAATTTGGTTAAATATTACATTTGCGCACATTTGGTGTTTATTGTTTTTTCGATTTCCCACAGTATTTTATTACATTTTCCAAAATTAATTCTACAGGTAACACACATGTTTACTTACAAAGAGAGTTAACAATTTTGCATAAATGCTAATTGCAAATATTGAAGATTGAATATAATTATGTCTCCTTAGAATAATGCATGATAGTGATTTTTTAAGGTCAAGGAACGGTCAATTGGCACATATTTTGCTGAGATTTTGCAAACAAATTTTAAACGTTGACCTCTAACTGTTATATTTGTAAAAAATTATTGACCAAAAATCGTTAACATAATTGAACGCATGTATACGATGTATAATACAATTTTGTTTCCGTATATGCAGCATGCGTGGATATGTAGATCTGTACATTTTACTCTTAATATTGCAATTGACAATTTAGCTTTATTAAGACTAGTTTGTATGTATCTATGATTTAAAGCTTGGTATGGCTGATTTTACGGTATGGGTTTTTGCTCAATTTATTTTGCGGTGACCTACAATTTTTATATTCGCTTATTTCAAAATTTCTCAGATAGTTGTATCATTGGCAGTCATATCTAATTTCCCTATTTTATGTTGTGCATGCATGTTTCGTCTCTTATCGATAGCCATGGCATTTTTCTTGGTTCACTGGAATGCCAATTTTAACAAGCACATCAATGAATTTTGTTTCGAAGGAAAAATCAAAACGGAAAGTCCCTTAACAAAAAGCAAAATCAAAAGCTCAAACGAATGGAAAACAAAGGATAACAATGCATTTCGACTGTTCGTTGAAAATATCTAAACATTTTTATTTCATAACACTGATAATTTTTTTTGCAGTAAACGATAAAGGGATCTATAGGGTGTGTATCAATTGGATATCAAACAACGAACATAAAATAGATCTGCAAAAGATGTGCAGAAGAATGGATACTGTATTGAGTAATAAGGATAACTGCTTAATACCTTCAATATATTTATGCTCCTGTCATGGTTAGAAAACTAGTTTCATTCTTATATTCCGTTGACCTTTACGTTTTAATCAATACTGGATAATTTTCATTCATTATTCATTGTTGTTGTTTTAGTATCTTGTATTTATTATCTTCTTCCTTCTTTTTCGTTCTTGTTTGTACCTAGAAAGCATTTAGTTTGTACTCAACAACTATGTATATATAAGATAACCTATAAACACATCAGTTGCCCTATCATTTTATTCGGATTAGAATATGATGTTCATGCTATTGATAGAGTTTTACTATCATATGTTCAATCATCTCGACATAGTAACACAATAACAATCACCGGTATTTGGTGTAACCCAAGGACAACACATGCATCTATACACCGTCGGTGAAGTAATGCGGACATTGTCACAATCTGTAAATACGATCACTCCATTAATGGTTCCTCCCCTGAAAATATCAAGAAGAATCAAGTTAACCCTTTATAAACTTGTCGAATAGAACATGTTTAAACTATTGTTTTTCAAATGATTTGTTGCAACACAAAACAACTTTTTTATTAAAAAATAGTTTTTTTTCAATTCTGAGGGTCCCGGTTAAAGGGGCATTAGCTTTCAAATTCATGTTCACCGATTTGACACAAATTCTCATACTTAAACGTTTATCGAAATTTACAAAAAGTCTAAAATAAAACATTAACAATGCGTGGACTCGATAATATGTATCAACATTTTGTGGGTATTTTTGTCTAGACGTAATCTTATTAACCATCGATATGACCACCGAAGACTGCCGACGGTTATTTAATCGATATAAACATGATTATAAATTCAGATAGATGGCGATCACGTGCAGTTGGATTATTCTAGGTCTATTTGATTTCATACTGTAGGTTAAAAAGTATGTCTATCATCGTTTTTACCTGTATATGAATGATTTGTTTGTGGATCGAATCAGTTCATCCTTTTTTCACTTTCAATGTTGACATTCTTTTCCTTTTAATAACTGAATACATGCGCAACCCATCTCCAGCTAAGGGGTTAAATTAAAGGTCACATGAATACGGATTCAATGAGGTCGAATTATTCAAAGCAAGTGAATAATTCATCAGCGATGTTTCTTTGCTTATTTTGACAAAATTGAACCAAATTGGCTACTAAAAGCGAGTTATTATTTCAATTTTCTAGAATTTTGACGAGTATTACAAAAATGTAACAATTAACTAAATGGTAATCTTGAGGTTAGAAATAATGTGGAATTTACCTTTCGCACAATTTTAGATGATTGCAAGTTCTTCCTGAATCAATACCATAAACTGTCTTTATCCCTTGGCCTCTACAGGGGGCACTAAACCTTTTGGTTCGACTTCCTAAAAAAATATATGCTACAATCGGTCCATATCTTTCAATTTTTTTATCGTCCAGATCACATATCAACAAGATAAATAGAAGAATTATTTTTGAACAAATGCTCCGGAACATTCGTGGCATTGATACAACTCTCACATTTATTTATTCGTTTAGTGAGGTTCTATTACAACATGGATGTTAAACACATACAATTATCTCTTAATTCCATTGATTGTCAGGGATTCACAATATTTATTATGAATGCATATATTAATTTCAAACTTAACACTTATATTAACATTATATTTATATAACAGTAATTATTTCTCACATCTATACAAGAGAGAGTATGCAGAATATGTTTTCAATACCTAATTATATATTGATGTTGTTCATAGCAAACGATCCTGTTTTGGACTATATTGAATTCTTTTATAAGTGTTATCTCCCTTATGCAAAAACACCAGGATGTCAGGCATTAAAGAATGACAATGAAGTTAGTCCGAAACTTTATCTACTATTTTTATCTTTGGGTTTGTGTCATGTTTCTCCAATTTGGTCATCCTCCTTTAAACTATATCTTATATTATTGACTTTCATCATCCATTATTATCCAAGAAAAACTGTTTGAACTAAGTGTAATAAAAGCTTTGACATTACACCTAAATTGATATGTGTTACTGTAATTATCAAGGAGATATCCCTTTCGGCGCCATGAGTTTTTTTCAAATTTATGATGATATAACATATAAAGCTAGATACAACATAAAACATATTCATTTCACGTGTTCTTATTTCTATTAAACCAGATCTCCTTATTTTAACAAGTTTTCAAGTATTCAAGTGTTATTTCTTTAAACAATTTTGCTAAACACTTCACAACATATTTTCTGTGCAGATAATCCTCTGTTCACATACTCAGTACAAAGTATAACTGTCAGCCAAATAGAGACTGAATACAGAAAACAGCTAACGTTTCTTATATTTTGGTAATTTGACTTTAAATACATACGACCTTGTTTACCTAAAGAACTGGTCATATTAAAAACTTCATCATCTTTTGGAACCTTTATTTCCTTGTAAAGAGGGTATTTAAAATCCTGGTAAAACTCTTTCAAAGACTGCCCAAGAGAATTGTAGTCAATGATTTCATCGAAATCGGCAAAATACATTTCCGTGACGACCACTTCGTTTGTACTATCTATAGTTTTATCACCTTTGTTCTGTGTGGAAAAAGAAAAACAGAGATTATTCTTAAATTTTAAAACACACGCACATATACATATCTATCTATCTATATAAATGTCTAAGAATATAACTTAAACACGCTGATTGATACATTGAAAAAGTTCTATTAGATTTTAAATAGATATACGCAATGTTTTGCTAGACCAACTAGCTTCATCAGGCGTGTGCATCTATCCAGGTGAAATAGGATGCATGACAAACATATTTTTGTACCTTAAACTACACGCAGCTGGAATAAAAGTTTAACATATACATATATATTTGCATTTTAGCGCCTGTCGAAAGTCAGAAGCCTCTGACCTTTGTTAGTTTTGTATGTTTATTTTAATTTTATAGATATGAGAAGATGTGGTATGAGTGCCAATGAGACAACTCTCCATCCAAGTCAAAATTTATAAAGGTAAACCATTATCGGTCAAAGTACGGTCTTCAACACGGAGCATTGGCTCACACCGAACAGCAAGCTATAAAGGGCCCCAAAAATTAGTTCATTTTTATGTTTCGCAGTTTAGTATGACGTCTATTTTCACTGAATTAGTACACATGTTTGTTTAGGGACCAGCTAAAGCCCGCCTCCGGGTGCGAGATTTTCTCGCGGTGTTGAAGACCCATTGGTGGCCTTGGGCTGTTTTCTGCTCTTTTGTCGGGTTGTTGTCACTTTGACACACTTCCCATTTCAATTCTTAATTTTATATACATCGTGTACTGTGTTAACACCCTGGGAACGCCGACGAGGAATAACATCACACAACTAACGAAAGATATATTTATATAGCCTAGTTGGTCGAGTGGTATAGGGCGCTTGACATAGTGCAGGCGGTGTTATCATGATTTCTCAGATGCAAGGATTCGAATCCCACTGAAGGAAAAACAAAAATTTGCTCTTTCAAATTTGCAGATCTAACATTGTTGGGCTAAATTTGAGACGATTAAATGGCGATTAAATGCCTCTTTCGAACACGAAATTACACTTGTGCATTTTAATCTCTTTAACATTATGTTAATGGTGACACTGGTCGAGGAAATCTCAATATGATTTAAACCCAATGACTGCGTAACAAATATATCGAGTTTTATAATGTACATATATGTTCAATTTTCATACCCAGCTGTGGATAAACCCCTCAGTAACTTGACCAGCATCTCTTTCGGTTTCTCCTTCTACATGTTCTATGTCCCGCAGTCTGCATTGCTTCAAGGAAGGGAGACATTTCATCTGCTGACCCTGTAACGAAAACCGACATTTTCAAAGAATGATAAAATCTGTAATAATGATGATGATAATGGATGGCTGCTTACCGTCCAGTGGGAAATTAATATGCATATTCAGGACTAGAACATGTTAATGGTATATGAATATAAACCAGTCTTTGCTCTTACTCCTTAATGCCGCGTGCTTAGCGGAGAAGCAGCAAATACCAATTTTAAAGACTTTGGTTTGACCAGGCCGGGGTTCGAACCGACGACCTCTCGCTCTCAAGGTGAACACGCTACCACTACCACAAGACCACTGTGACTGTATTAAAGTTTTAAGCAATGTTAATGAATTCGGTAGATGTACAATTTTCAATAGATATTATCAAAATTTGGAATACCGTTCAACAAATCATAATTGAATGTAGTCTCTTAGGGTAGTACTAGAGTATTCTGTTATTTCCGATCCCAAAATGCGTTAATTATTGGTCCAAATTGGTTCCTAAAATAAGCGAATCGGCTTAAAATACAGATCCTATGTGTCAATGTTTTGCTTACAAGGATCTGAAAGCGCTCCGTTCTACTTTCTATTTTAAAGATCTATCGGGATCCTCTGGTTTTGTCTGATTAATACACACCTTCAAAGATTTGAAGGCTTACATTTCATTGGCCGATGTAATAATTACCAGAACAGGAAGTAAAATGTAGTGTTGTCAGATCCTTGTAAGCAAAGCTGAGACACATGGTCTGTATTTTATTCAGATTGGGAAAACTACAACTCGTTCATCGGATATTTCATTTCTTTCGTATTGATATAATAAAGTTGATTAAAAATTGAATATTGGATATATTTATTATCCTATGTTGCCCTTAACAATCCTTACATTTTCTGAAAGCATATACCTATACATCCTTGGCTTTTAAATATTTGGCTTTTAACGTTATTGATGAAGGTGATTCCACCAAATTTTGTTTATTTAAACTATTTATCATAATGAATTTCAAATTGTATCCTATAAAGTTTTCGCTAGTTACTATTACGTAATTATGCGTTTGTCAGTGTATAAAACTTCTCTTTATATACATCTATATGATAATTGGCACAATTTTGAAATTAGATCCGTGACCTATAATTTTTTCCAATTTTGTTTTATATAACACGATATGAATTACGTTTTGGCAATGTTCTTATATTATGAGCTCCAATACGAAATGATACGGAGAATATTATAATCCCTTATAATGACTGAAACTAACAGATAATATAAATCAAAACGGAAATATTGTTATTCAAATTCAGTGTTGACCTCTACGAAAGATTATTCAAAGATATTATTAAGCAAGTCGGTAAATTCATTTTTTAATAGAATGCAATCACATTTGTGTGTGTAATTATGAAACGTTTTGTTAACAAATCACCATTCGTAGGTTTTAGCATTGTCGGTAATCACAAACCTGACTGAAATCTTGAATTTGGTACGATTCCATAACATCATTGTGTGCTGGGGTGTGAATTTTTACTACATTCTTTTCTAGATTTGTTTCTATGTTTTCCGAATATCTGGCATTTCCTTCAATAACGTCATACCCAAATTTCTGAAACAAAAACCGTTATTGCGTCTTAACATTACTATAAAATTGTTTGATAAGACACCAAACAGGTCAGAAAAAGACAAGAGCAATGTATCGAAATCAAACCAAAAGGTTGAACAAAATAATTAAAAAAACGAACAGTGAATGAAAGCGAAGCGAATCAGTAGAGTGACTTTTTAAAATTCACCATATAAAAACAAATGCAGTTTAAATAGGCGAACGGAAACCATTGACAAAAGTGAAATTATACAAATGACAATATATACTTATGAGTTATACTATTTGATTCTTTGACATGATTTGGTCTTTACTAAACAATATCACATTTTAACAAGATTTTTGATATAAGAAAGTACAGATCAACATAAAAAAAAAAAAACAATACAAAATTATTATCATCAGTTATAACTTTGACTTGTTACTATTGGAGAATGTTGATAAGCCAAACATGTGTTATTGTCATGCTTTCAATCCCAATACTTTAGCCACTAAATGTGTGTATACTACTGATTCTATGCAAAGCAATGAGTTGTACAAGAAGAGTACCGTATTGTACTGACATACAGTGTTTTATTATACAGAAAGAAACTGGGTTATGTTTCTACTTATACTGCAACTCTTACATCTGTTACAAATGAAATATTTTTTTGTTAACCCATCATTTCTTAAAAAGCTATATTTTTATTGACGTCATAAATCAAACTCTACGGAAACGTACTGTAAACGTCATATACAAGGCGATTTATGGTAATTGACTATATGACAAATGACTATACGGTCAATTGAATTTGACTGCGCAAATAGCATAGTTACAGTAGAAACAATCATTCGGAAGTCTCGGAAGACGAGTCAATTCAAATGATACAGAAAGTACGGGACAATGTTTGCTTCCAGTAAACAGTTCATATCCAGTAAATAGTTTTTTTTTAAACTACTAACCGATAAATAGTCTTTTTCAGGCAATTTCGCAAAAGGGTAAATGTATTCGTCAATAATTTTATATAGAAAATATATACTGAGGTACAATAATCAACGATATTTATTTAGATTGAGGAATATTTGCTTTTATCTAAAACATTATCTTTATTTCTACATAACAAAATACAACTTTGTCATATCTTTATATGACGGTTGACAGCTTGTTTATCTTGATTAAATGCAAAAAAAAAACCGTGTGAGGTAAATGTGGTTCTTGTATAAAGTTCATATAATCTTAACACTCGAAATATGATGATAATACAGATATTTAAAAATCATAATTTAATGATAGAAATTGGAAAACACCAAGAGGACAATCAAACACAATAATCGAAAAAAAACCAGTAACTTGGTCAAAAAGAAAAACGCCCAATAGACCAAAATATAGTGCAGACAAAACATAAGATCGAGCACCAGAAACACCATTTACAACGGGGTGTTGGTCCGAAAGGGTAAGCAGAGTAAATTTATGAGTACAAATAATACACACAAATAATTTATACAAGTCGTGCATGGAACTTATTCATTTTCTGACAAAGAAATAAACATACCATATCCATATTGGCCGTGACAACGGAAAGGAATAAAGCATTTAACAGAATAATCAGTAATTGGCCCATTGTTGATTTCTGTAAAAAATAACAATAGGGAAAACAAATTATTAAACTATACTTTTTTCGAAAATTAATTACTATTCGGTAATCAAAAACGAATTCTCAAAAACTGCCTTCTAATAGCACACAATGATCTTATCCATTAAGGGTAATTTCAGGAATTTAGTAAAGTAATTTCAAGCAACATCTTCTTATCTTCATATCGACTGAGTCATGCACAAATTTAATAAAGTACGAGATTAAAATTGTAAGCGAAAGGTCAAACTTTCACTCAGTAAATGCGGTCAATTTCTTTTTTTATTCGAAATATAAAGGTTTAAAGGATTATTTTTTGTACCGAAATTGATAGATATTTACATAATAGTTTTGTCTGAATAACAATTCAAACAACCAACGTAATGAACTTGAGTTTATCAATGTTAATATTTTTTTATTTATTGAAGTTGATTTTTTAACTTCAAGTCAAATAAATCAATGAAAAAGAAATTAATCCATTTCATGCATGTGCTTATTACCTCTAGTAAATATTTTTTTTTAATTATTAATCGCTTACCCCTTGCAGTAGTCCCACAATGTTGATATGGACGAAGCGATGCTGCTTAAATACTATCAGTTCAGGATGTGAAATACTTGTTTCTTGGAACATTTGTCAGCTAGACAGTAGTTGTTTTCCACTAACAATATGTCACGTCTGTATGTAGGAGTTAATCCGACAAAATTTTAAGTGAAATCAAGTGGTCATAGAGATTTAGACTAGGGAGATCGTTTTAAGTATATTATTATATTGCCAATTAATTTTCTTGGTCTTAATAATAATTCATGCTATCCTCTTACACGAATACAAAATCATATCGTTCATGGGAACAAATTTGTTAAAAGCATATTAAATAGGTTTTTTTGTAGATTTCAACGAGGTTTTCCAAGGTTTAGGTTATCAAGTCAGGAATATGGCAGTTGTTTTTAACTTGTTCCGTTGATTGATAGCATTTGATTTTGTCAGTTTTTATGGACTCCCCCTTTTTTAATTTTTTCTTTCCTTCAATATGTGTGTTTGAGTATATTTGAAAATGTTATTTTCTTTAATCAAAATATATGTTTTCCTCTATGAATTTCAATTTTGAATATTATATGTAGCATAAAATACACCTACAACGTCTATTTTATCTTAATTTAATTCTTTATTTTGCAGGATATTTTATAGAAAAACAAAACAAAAAAAATGGTGCTATGAAAACACCCTAGATAAATGTAAAATTTTCCTGCAGTGAAATGCAGGTCGAATTTCCTACAACTATCAACTTTAAGGGAGTTTTTTTTTCGTTTTTTCGTAACCGGTACATTCACCTTGCGGTTAATGAACGTGCCTCCTATGGTATTTAATTTTTAACTAATCATCGTATTGGAAGACACAAAAATCAGATGCTTGGTAAACAAAATTTTTTTCAGAATATATTATCATTATCATTGCATGCAAATATAATGTCATAACTATCCCATGTATTTATGGTAATGCGTTAAGTCGGATAAAAAGGTATATTTTATTTATTATTCCTGCAAAATAAAAAAATAAAATAAGATAAAATAGACGTTGTAGGTGTATTTATGCTACATATAATATACAAAACTGAAATTCATAGAGGAAAACATATATTTTGATTAAAGTAAAAAACATTTTCAAATATACTCAAACACACATATTGAAGGGAAGTAACTCTTGATGATTTCAATTTTCAACAAACCAGCGACCCCGCAATCCGTGGTCCGACGGGCGGCCGGTTTTGAGAAGTTTCACTGTAAAACAAAAATCCGAACTCCAACGAAAATTAAAAAACGGGGGAGACCATAACAACTGACAAAATCAGACGCTACCAAGCAACGGAACAAGTTAAAAACAACTGCCATATTCCTGACATTGAAAAACCTCGTTGAAATCTACTAAAAAAACTATTTGATATGCTTGAACAAATTTGTTCCCATGAACGAAATGATTTTGTATTCGTGTAAGAGGATATCATGAATTATTATTTAGACCAAGAAAATTAATTGGCAAGTTATGGTCTTGTTTTCGTAGAATCCTTGAGGGGAAAGTGATATTTTTAAATCGTAACATACTTAAAACGATCTCCCTAGTCCAAATCTTATATGACCACTTGATTTCATTTGAAATTTTGTGGGGTTAACTCCTACATACAAACGTGACATATTGTTAGTGGAAAACAACTACTAACTAGCTGTCAAATGTTCCAAGAAACAAGTATTTCACATCCTAGACGGATAGTATTTAAGCAGCAACGCTTCGTCCACATCAACATTGTGGGACGTATGCAAAAGGTAAGCGATTTATAATTCTTAAATAATATTTACTAGAGGTAATAAGCACATGAAATGGATTAATATCTTTTTCATTGATTATTTGACTTGAAGTTAATAAATCAACTTCAATAAATAAAAAAAATATTTACATTGATAAACTCAAATTCATAACGTTGGTTGTTTGAATTGTTATTCAGACAAAACTATTATGTAAATATCTATTTATTTCAATACAAAAAATAATCCTTTAAACCTTTATATTTCGAATAAAAAAAGAAATTGACCGCATTAACTGAGTGAAAATTTGACCTTTCGCTTACAATTTTAATCTCGTACTTTATTCAATTTGTGCATGACTCAGTCGATATGAAGATAAGAAGATGTTGCTTGAAAATACTTTACTAAATTCCTGAAACTACCCTTAATGGATAAGATCATTGTGTGCTATTAGAAGACAGTTTTTGAGAATTCAATTGGAAAAAGTCGTTCCTGATTACTGAATAGTAATTAAATATCGATTACCGAATTGTAATAAATTTTCGAAAAAAGTATAGTTTAATAATTTGTTTTCCCTATGGTTTGTTTTTTTACAGAAATCAACAATGGGCCAATTACTGATTGTTGTGATTAATGCTTTATTCCTTTCCGTTGTCACGGCCAATATGGATATGGTATGTTTATTTCTTTGTCAGAAAATGAATAAGTTCCATGCATGACTTGTATAAATTATTTGTGTGTATTATTTGTACTCATAAATTTACTCTGCTTACCCTTTCGGAGTAACACCCCGTTGTAAATGGTGTTTCTGGTGCTCGATCTTATGTTTTGTCTGCACTATATTTTGGTCTATTGGGCGTTTTTCTTTTTGACCAAGTTACTGGGTTTTTTTTCTATTATTGTTTATTGTTGTCCTCTTGGTGTTTTCCAACTCCTATCATTCAACTATGATTTTTAAATATTTTTTTTATCATCGTATTTCGAGTGTTAAGATTATATGAACTTTATACAAGAACTAAATATACCTCACACGGTATTTTTTTTTTGTTTTTTTTTTGTGCATTTAATCAAGATAAACAAGATGTCTACCCTCATATAAAGATATGACAAAGTTGTATATTGTTATGTATAAATAAAGATATTGTTTTAGATAAAAGCAAATATTCCGCAATCTAAATAAATATCATTGATTATTATACCTCAGTATATATTTTCTATATAAAATTATTGACGAATACATTTACCCTTTTACGAAATTTCCTGAAAAAGACTATTTACCGGTTAATAGTTTAAAAAACTATTTACTGAATATGAACTGTTTACTGGAAGCAAACATTGTCCCGTACTTTCTGTATCATTTGAATTGACTCGTCTTCCGAGACTTCCGAATGATTGTTTCTACTGTAACTATGCTATTTGCGCAGTCATATTCAATTGACCGTATAGTCATTTGTCATATAGTCAATGACCTTAAATCGCCTTGTTTAAGACGTTTACGATACGTTTCCGTAGAGTTTGATTTATGACGTCAATATAAATATAGCTTTTTAAGAAATGATAGGTTAACAAAAAAATATTTCATTTGTAAAAGATGTAAAAGTTGCAGTATAAGGAAAACAACCAATATATTGTCTCGAAATATAACCCAGTTTCTTTCTGTATAATAAAACACTGTATGTCAGTACAATACGCTACTCTTCTTGTACGACTCATTGTTTTGCATGGAATCAGAAGTATACACATATTTAGAGGCTAAAGTATTTGGATTGAAAGCATGATAATAACACATGTTTGGCTGATCAACATTCTCCAATAATAACAAGTCAAAGATATAACTGATGATAATAATTTTGTATTGTATTTTTTTTTTTTTTTTTTATGTTGAACTGTACTTTCTTTATATCACAAATCTTGTTTACATGTGATATTGTTAAGTAAAGACCAAATCATGTCAAAGAATCATATAGTATAACTCATAAGTATATATTGTCATTTGTATATTTTCACTTTTGTCAAAGATTCCCGTTCGCCTTTTTAAACTGTATTTGTTTTTATATGGTGAATTTTAAAAAGTCACTCTACTGATTCGCTTTGCCTTCATTCACTGTTTGTTTTTTTAATTATTTTGTTCAACCTTTTGGTTTGATTTCAATACATTGCTCTTGTCTTTTTCTGACCTGTTTGGTGTCTAATCAAACGTTTTTATAGTAATGTTAAGACGCAATAACGGTTTTTGTTTCAGAAATTTGGGTATGACGTTATTGAAGGAAATGCCAGGTATTCGGAAAACATAGAAACAAATCTAGAAAAGAATGTAGTAAAAATTCACACCCCAGCACACAATGATGTTATGGAATCGTACCAAATTCAAGATTTCAGTCAGGTTTGTGATTACCGACAATGCTATAACCTAGGAATGGTGATTTGTTAACAAAACTTTTCATAATTACACACACAAATGTGGTTGCATTCTATTAAAAAATGAATTTACCGATTTGCTTAATAATATCTTTGAATAATCTTTCATAGAGGTCAACACTGAATTTGATTAACAATATTTCCGCTTTGATTTATATTATCTGTTAGTTTCAGTCATTATAAGGGATTATACTATTCTCCGTATCATTTCGTATTGGAGCTCATAATATAAGAACATTGCCAAAACGTAATTCATATCGTGCTATATAATACAAAATTGGAAAAAATTATA